ACATGAAATTCGAACATATTTTTGCTCCACGATACGAACAAAAACTCACCATACGACGTTACATTAGTTCGCAGCACCATTTTTTTTATTCACTTCTGTTCATCGGTCTCAGTCTGCGTGTTTACTTTGTTGTGGAAGGATCTCGCTCGATATAGGAAATCTTGAGGTATTATCAGAAAGTGACTGATTTTATTGAAAAGAAACATTCCAAAAAGATTCACACTGGCCGTATTGCTGCTCGGAATAATGACATTTGCCTAAGTCATTTTAGAAACATTTTAAAAAGTAGGCAAAGCCAAACCTCTATGGATAGATATTTTACCAAGCGACCTCTATCCAGTGAAAGTGCTGGTGGAAGTGAAGGAAAGAAAGCAAAAAGCAGTGAATAAAAATTAAAAAAGAAAAAAAATTAGTGTTGTTTTATAAGTGATTTTTAAGTTATTGTTACATTATGTTATGTAAGTTAAGTTTTTAGTATCATTTCCCTTCTCCCTCTCTTCCGCCACCAGTTTACACTTTCACCGTCGTCTATCGTAAAGTGCAAATAAAACTACATTTTTTTTTATCAATTATTATTCTATTATGGTTATTTATATAGTTAGAACTACAAAATGTATTTTTCAGTGTTTTCCATACTATACTTTTGTTTTTTTTAATGTACTACTTAGCTTTAATTTAAGTGTGTTTTGGTGTTGAAACGAATTATTTGGTTTTACATGTAATCGTATGGGGAAAAATGATTCACCTTACGACATTTTCATGATACGATCTCAGTTTTGGAACAAATTAATTTCATATCCTGAGGTACCACTGTATATTGATAAATGTTTGGTGTACAATTTTTAGAAAATATTTTATGACTAATTTCTTTAAATTTGTGATTACAGATGCAAATTGTTTTATAGTAAAGAGGGAAATTATGTAGAGAAGGGAGTTGGAGTGTTGTATTTAAAAACTGTGGAAAGTAAAGTTCAGCTGTTGGTTAGAGCAGATACAAATTTAGGTAAATATCATAAAATATAAGTATATTCACTCCATCATTAATAGCAATTGTTTTATCTTGCTATATTTGTTACAACTTATTTTAGAAAAATTTATTTAATATATTGATGTGTGTGAAATTACAAAAAGATTTTTCTGTAATTATTGTAACAAAAAGCAGAATTTTCAAAGAATAAATATAATAATCTGAAAATAAGGTTATAAATGTAAGAATTAATAACTAAAGGACTCAAATAATACAACTATAGATTCACCCAAGATTTTTTATTTGTTCTCTTCCTTATTACACACTAAACTGCTTTCTATCTTCTAGTATGAACTGAGCTCTGCTCCAATGGTTCTATTCTACTGATGCCCAATTGAACTTCTACTAACCACAATGTTAAATATTTATTTAGAACAAAAAACATAATCCCAAAAAATGTCTTTGTATCACATATCTTACATAAATATATTTAAAACTTTATTTTCAGATCATTATATTTATAGGTAACTTTATTTGTAACAAAACTCATGTGAGAATAAATGAGAATTAATAAACATATTTTTATTATAGGAAATATCCTTCTGAATATCATGCTAACTGAGACTCTTCCTATTAAGAGAGTTGGAAAGAATAATGTTTTGATTGTATGTGTACCAAATCCTCCTATTTATCCTAAACAAGAAGGAACAGAAGCTATTCCACTTCTAATCAGAGTGAAAACAACAGAAGATGCCGATGAACTGTTGCAAAAATTAGAAGAGCATAAATCTTGAAATTAAAATTTCTAATTAAGAACTGTGAAATTGTCTTAACAGTGTAGTTTTGGATGTAAATTACCAGAAAACTTAAAAATTAATTACTGATCGATTGTATAATGATTGTAATTTGTTCTTTGAGTCATTTGTTTTATGTGATGTGGCTTTAATGTTAAAAATTGATATAAAAGAAAAAGAGAGAAAGAGAAGCAAACTCTGATACTTTGTGATTAAGAAGTTTTTATTTAAATAAATTTGTAAGCTCTATTAATCAGTACACACAAATATATATTATATAAATATATATTTATTTTCATCAGCAGATTTGAGAGAAAAATGAAGCTAGAAAGATTATTAATGTGCACCATTTTGATATGTAAGAATAACTTAGCTTGCTAATATTTTTATAGTAGAATTTTCTGATTATAAGTGCCATTTATTAATGCTTTCTTTCAATATAAATTAAGATTATTCCTAGATTCAGAAACCTATCACTTATTTGATTAACCGAAAAGGAATCATTTGCTTATGATACAAAAAGTTTTAAACAATGTACATTTTATTCAATCCAGCTTGGAAAGTAATGTCTATACGTGGATGAGAAAAATGTACAATTTATGAATCCGATAAGAGAGCCACTTGAATTTTATTACTTCTTAACTTTAACTCTTCATTCAACTTTGTGAAATGCTCTTTGGTTATTTTGAGACAATAGTGAATTCACCTAATTGGACAAATTTTTCTAAAAAATTTACTAGTTCTCATTCCTATTTTGAAGAAAGGATAGAAATGAGAACTAGTAGATGACACTGAATGCAATGTAGCAGCTCATGAATCTGATTTGTAAATGGTTCATTTTTCCTCATCCATGTCCACAATACCACAATTTCAGATCTAGACATTATTTTTCAATCCAAATTGAATAAAATATATATTATTTGGAAATTATTCTATCTTAAGTGAACATTTCTTTCTAAGATTAATCTAAAATAATGTATTTAAAAAATACTCTGCATGATTTACCAGAATCATTTTCTGTTTATCAGAATCATGCATATGCTTCTCAGATATTTATCATTTTATATTAACCAGTTTAATTTTAACTTCTCAATAATTTTATTTTTAAATAAATATATATTTCAATCATCCTATAAATGATCATAAATATAGCAATAAATGTAAATAGTTTTCTGACTAAAAATTAAATATGTTTTATAGAAATTGTATGGCCAATACAGAAAATGTATTTTGGAGTGAGTAAATCAATTTCAAATTATACATTTTTTTATCATTTTTCTAATTTTAGTATTAATATTCTCATCTTCATATTTTATGAATTATTATGATTTAAATAGCTAGATAATTAGTTGACGTTGAAATTTCGTAAGTTTTGTAAATATTAGAATATAATTTAATCATTATGTACAATAAATTGGAACATAATATACGACTAAGTTTTAGGTTTCATCTATAATTATCAAATGAAACCTTTTAGAATTGATTAAATGTAGAAAATTTATGCTCATGATATGTGAATTCATTAATTTTATTGATAACAGCATAAATAATAATCATATGTTGTATCAATCAATAAACTTGATATTACCATTCCAGTAAAATCTTTTGCAGTTTAATGAAAAGTATGTGTGGATTTTTTATTTTTCCTTGTATCTGTATTTTATGCTATTGGAAATTGTCTTTTTAATAATGATTCACAGATATCAACATTTTGCTAAAATTATTAAAAGAAATTAAAAACTCAAACACTTTTGCTTTTATTATAGTAAGACACTTTGAATAATAAAAGCAAAAGTGTTTATAATCTTGCTTATAAGAAAAAAGTGACTCCATAATACATTTCAACACAAAACTCAAACCTTACTTTTCAAGAGGAACTTCTTGTTGTCAACAGCACCATACAGTTGATATATGTACAGAGGAAGTACGAGAATCTTTACAGACATTTTCAAGAGGAATTTCTTCCCATTTCAGCACTACCATACAGATATCACCTATAGGGTACTGCTGACAATGGAAGGAAATTACTCTTGAAAACATGAAAAGTAAACATTAGGATTCCTTGATAGGGTTTGAATTTTCTATCAAATTTAGCAAAATTATTTATTAATTTTTAAATGTATTTGAAACATTTTAATAAAGCATTGCTAATAAATCTGAGTCACAATATTAAAAATTTAATCTTCCAGAAATGTGAAGTGTTCCAGAAAATCTTCAGTGAAATCGACTGTTAAGTAAAACTAAAACTGTTAATTTGAATTAACCAATTCAATAAGAGTTTATAAGACATTGATATTGGTTCATTAATATATTAGTATGAGAAGCAAGTTCATTGAAACAAACATAAGAGATTATCATCATTATTCTACTTCATTCTGTGGTTACTAAGAGGCTCTTTTTAATCAAGGAAATGACAATGGTGAAGAATGGAGCTCAGAACATCAGGATAAACCACCCCAAAAAATTCCTAAGGTTTCTGATATGGACTTGACCTGGAATAAGTGGGCTTTGATTGTCTCGGCGAACTAGCTGTCTAGAAACATTTGTAAAGTTACAAACGCAAAATTCGCAATTTGCGAAAATTATAACATTGGCGAATAGCCAGTGAACAGTCCGGAGAGAGGAGAAGTTATTCAGCGAAAAAGAGTATTAAGAACATCAATGGGTCTTGGTCCGATACAATTTTATATTAATAAACAAAAAGTTGCTTGAGGAAATCAGCCATAAAAACACTACATTTTTACCTTCTCGGTTCTGTTATATATTATATAACCAGGGCCGGCCTTCTCTATGAAGGGGCCCGGGTGCAAGAAACTATTTGGGCCCTACATTTTTTGTAAAATAAAAATAAAAAAGATTAAACTTTTTAATTTTTATTTTACAAAGAAAATTTTAAAATATCTGATGTCATAGGAACTTTTATAGGGCTGCAATTTTCAAATTGCAGACCTACAAATTTCCACTAGTGTCCATCTGTATGTCTGTGCATCTAACTCCATTTTCAAGATTTAATCTTGAAAATGGAGTTAGATAGATGAAAGTTGAAACTAGATACAGAAAGCTTAGTGGCAGGAGGCACTGAGTAACTATATACAAACTTCCAGTTTTGGCCAGATATCATGTTATTTCAATTCAAAAGTTTTTTCCAGAATGGAGTTAGCTAGATCCAGCATGACTATTGTTAACAGGAAAAGTATGATGCATAGAGGCAAGACACTACTAAATTCAGCATATATTTTAAATTAAATTGATTGAAAATTGCACCCTGGCACTGTGACAACACAATAAATAATTGCTCATTATAAATAATTTGCATGTGTTTGGGTGGGACTAAAGGAAGACCAACTCTGCTAATACTGATTGTACTCCAATGATTGTGAATGGACAGTCAACAGACCTCAAAAATTTATTCTTGTATTTAGTCTTTTTATAATTGTAAATGCAATTTGTTCTGGATTTTTTATCTTTATTTTACTAACTATTTTTTGTTTTCTTTCTTTAAATGATTAGTTACAGAGTTCATCTTTGCCTCAACAACGGAGTAAAAATCCTTATTTCTGTAACCTGTTACTGGTGCATTACATGTAAAAAATACACTTTGTAACAAACATTTTCGAACTATTGCAAAGTTCTTCTTCAGGTCAAATAGCTTTGGAATGCCTCAGAGTGGAATGTAAAGATTTAAAATGAAATTGAATGCCATTTCGACAAAATCCGTTTTGCCGGGCATGCACGATCATGTGCTGATGGATCTAATTATGGGTTGGCATCTATGAGGGCCTGCCAGACTAGCGACAGACTAAGCTCCTCCTTCTGGTTGATTCAGGTGATCTCTCGGCACCAGCTTTGTAAATGACTGTCTTCTAGCCATTTAAGATGGTCCTGGCGGGGCATGGTGACAACAATTTCAGCCTTGTCAAACTCTGCCTTGATGTCCGGATCAGATGCATATGCGGCAAGGGCATACTGTGCCGTCCATGTTGAATGTCCGTTGAATGTCTTTGACATCCTCCAAAATGAAAAAGACCCTCCGGATCATACCAGACTTCCTGGTGTATACTCCATCCCGNTTATCATCATGAAATGCGAATATTTAATATATAGTAGACCCGATAGAGTCGCCGCCCAGCGGCTGTGAATGGAACGTTCGGTAAGCAGTTTGTCGCATGTGTATCGAATTGTGACTTTTAATTAGATATTTTGAATAAGAAAACGATGTTTGGACAACTTTTGTTTAGATTTGTGCATACTACAGCTTATCGCCTTAATTCTGCGGTTCCTAAAGCTGCTCTATCAGCTCTGAGGAAGAAGACTGGATACTCATTTGTTAATTGTAAGAAAGCGTTACAGCAATTCGATAATGATTTAGAGAAGGCAGAAGAATGGCTCCATGCAGAAGCTCAAAAACAAGGTTGGGAGAAATCACAAAAACTTAAAGGTAGAGAAACTAAACAGGGATTAGTTGGATTCTTTAAGCAGGGAAATGTGGCAAGTATAGTTGAAGTAAATTGTGAAACAGATTTTGCAGCTAAAAGCTCTCATTTTAAAGATTTAATGAATGACGTACTCAACATTTGCCATAATCACGCTTCTACTAAAGAATTAAAAGATTCCTTGATGAAAGTAAACGTTTCATCGACAGAGCTAAATTCGCTGCCTTGGCAAGAAGGTAAAACGTTAGCGGATAGACTTGCATTATCCGTGACGAAGATCGGAGAGAATTTAAATGCTCGAAGGGCTTTGTGTATAAAGTTTATGGACGATTTCTCTGTAACTGGATACGCTCATCCCGCAAATCCAGATGCTGCTGAAAATTCTGTGCAAACTGGTAAATATGTTGGATTAGTCGTTTATCGTAGACACTCAAATTCTGTTCCAAACCCAGATTTTGACAAAAGTCTGTGTCAACATATAATCGGTATGGATCCAAAAGAAATAGGCGAAATGGAATCTGAAGAAAACATAAAGAAAGATATTAAAACTAAGCAAAAAATAGTAGTTGATACGCCTGTTAAAGATAACTTGGATGAATCACAGTCTAAGCAGGAAGAAGATACATCTTCGTCGTCCAGTGAGAGTTCATCTGATGATGATGATTCTGACAATGAAATGTTTGAAGAAAGGAGTTTATTAAAACAAAAATTTATTGGTGATCCGGATAAAACTGTTGGGGAAGTTTTAGAACGAGCATCTGTACAAATTGTCGATTTCGTACGCTTTGAATGTGGTGAAAATTTAGAAGAGAATAAAACAGAAGAATAATTCGTATATAATATAATTAAAATTCTTATTTTATTTCAAATTTTAACAAATAAAATAGTAATGAAAAAATGATTGTAATAAGTGATCTTGTTAAATATAATTTTAGAATAAGTTAATTTCTATTGAACATGTTCCAGAAATAGCATTTCAGAATATTTCATTTTTATACTTACATTAAAATTACAGAATTATTGTTTTAACGTTATCTCATGCATATAAGTTAATAATATACTACGAATGTGTTAGAATGTTAGAAAGTAATATTATTTTCTAAGCTTTATGTAATCAGTGTCATTATGTGCGCATACATTTTTGTTTTAATTAAATAATATATGAAATTTTACTCGAACGTATCAACGCCATTATTTATATAATAATCAAACACTGGCAAAATCATCCAACCCAGAGAAAAATAAACAGGAAAACCTGTCCAGACAATAAAAATACCTAGGATGGAATCGAATATTTCATTGAAGAAAAATACGAGTTTAAGCAAAATATGCAACCTTTATAGTGTTCTTATTGAGGTGTAAACGTTGAGGGCAACCAGTTTTTTACTGTTTTACTCAGAGTACTAGATTATACAAGCATGATTAAAATCGATAGATAATAATGCCCTGCGATGTATCGAAGCTTCGATGAATCATCAATGTTTTATGCCTCCGATGCATCGAAACATCGATGAATTTAAATGTTCGATTAATTGGTAAAACATCGATGTTTTCTGTTATTCTCCGTTATCCTTCCGTTTTTATTCCAAAGTTTCCACATCAGATACAAGCAGATAAATACCCCGCATTTTCCGTTATTCAGCAAGACGTCAGCGCACTGTAAAATGATAAAACTTGTTCCATATTTTAGCTAATTTGCAGCACCTTCTCAAAACTATTACAAAATCTCATTAGCGAGGTTGAGAAGCGCCAGCGTTCTGTTATGACAACGGGCGAAGTATGGTGGCGCCGTGTTTACACGGGGTATTAATGTCATCCTGCTGATACTTTCATAATTTAATTTTTTATTATAGATTTTTATTCTGTGTTCTTGGTTCCCCTATCAATTAAAGTTATTTAAAATTAACTTTATCAATAAATGATGATTTAAGGAAGTTTTTGTTGCTATGGATAATAAAAGACAACCATCCAGCAGAAATCATCGCAGGAGAGGGATTTAAAATTTTCATGATAACCGCATGTCCCAGATATGAAGTTCCACATCCAACGGCCATATAGAGAAGCATGCGGCTATTATTTGATGAAACTACACTCTATCTGCGAAAAACGTTTATTGATCGGAAGCATTATGCATTGATCTGTGATAGGTGGACAGATCCAATAAATTTCAGTAATTATTTAGGTATAACTATACATTTTATCGAGAATTTTGAATACAAGTCATATAATAGGCAGCATAGAATGTTGGCATCATACAAGTGAATATTTAAAAGATACACTTCGGGATCTATTAGAATTTTTTAATCTTGAAAAGAACAAAATACTGTATACTTTTCCTTTCTTTATACATGATATAAAATTAAAAAATATAATTACGAATAAGATTTTTTTGACAGAACAGTAGAAAAAATTACAAAACTGCTTGAAAACAGCAAAACTGTCTACCAACCAAATGGATAAAACCAGAGTCGATAGATATGGTTTGAAAGTGATGTAAAAATATGCCACTTCTCATCAGATTTGCAGTAGACAGACTTTTTTTAAAACTCTTTCCGCGGACCACCAGTGGCCAAGCGATTCCGTCCCCTGAACACTGAGAGTTCGGTCATGGGTTTGCACCTCGCTTGGACAGGCTGGTCATGTGGAGTTTTCCGGGGTTTTCCACGTTTGTAACGCTTGAATAGGGCCAATTACCCTTAAAAGACCTCCCGGAATGGATTATTCCCGCGCGTTACGTCCACCGTAATAAAAGTATCCAACTACTAATACTAGCCAACGAGCGGTCAAGGTGGCAGCCTACCGCTCTGGGGGACCCGGGACCGAATCCGGACGGAGACGGGTCAAATAATCCCCAGGAATTTTTCGGGGGTGGTCCGTTCGGATATGTCGGGCCCCATCCCTCACCACCTGGCCGCCCATTGTGGGCCTGACCGAACCCATAATGGGCTTGCAAAAAAGGCCCTCTTAATGCCCACAGGGCGGAAAGAGTTAAAAAAACTAGCCAACGAGCTTACACATTCCACGTGGCGAAATAGCCAGAGAAGCTGATTCCCAACTTGCTACTAAACAAACAAACGTTTTTCCACCCTTTGAGCACTAAGAGGGCCTCTTTTAGCAAGCCCATTATGGGTTCTAGCGGGTGGTAAGGGACGGGGCCCGACATATTCGAACGCACCACCCGAAAAATTCCTGAGGATTTTTCGAACCGTCCGGATTCGATCCTAGATCCCTCAGAGCGGTAGGTTGCCACCTTGACGCTCAGCCATCCGGCCAGTAGTCAGACTTACACCCGTTACAAAACACTTATTCGACATTCTCTTGTTTCTTTTTCTCACAGATAAAAGTTACAAAAATGCATGCGCCAGCTATCGGCAACCTGACACGTTAACTTTAGAGTTTAGATCAAAGCTCAGAGACCAGTACAGTATATTTTTGACTCTGGTAATATTACAATTATGTAGAATAATAATGATAGAATGTACTGTACATTTAGGAAGTATAAATAGAGAGAATATTTAAACTGAAGATAGGGTTAACCACTATTAAATTAATTGAAAACAGACTAATGGCAAACAAATTTAGTGTCCTGATCACTTTTCAAATTGTGATTTGTGGTAATCTTTGGCTCATCAATGTAAGCTTAGAATAGAAAAGCGATATAATGTAGTCAAACCTTGATTTAGCGGAATGGCGTAGCGTGGGTGTCAGCCGCCCGGGGCAAAGGAAAATTTCGCTGTCCCCTTATTTAGGCATCTCAATTTAAAAGACTAAAATTCAGTTTCGTCACAGAATAAGTAATGAAAAATTCCATGCTAGTGTTGCCACCTTTTTAAAATCGCCGACCCAGAGGACAGGTGAGGTTTGTTCGAACAGAAGTTCCTGACGCATGCGTAATGTCATTTTGCAATGCGAAGAATAATGTGCAGTGCATGCCGGTTCGAAATCAGGTACAATTAGGGACTAGGGAAATTTGGGTAGGAGTAACGTAAGTAACCTAGATGACATAGTTCTATCTGATATTGAAGATGTGTATGAGAATATGAATCGTACAAGCATAAAAAAAAAACAAAATAAAAAAAAGGTCGACAGGTTGCGCACGATATTGCCAGGAAAAAGCAACAGTTCATCCGGACAGTGAGTCGATTCCCGGACTGTCCGGGTGGTAACACTATTCCGTGCTCATTTTAATCGGTCCGAATCGTAGGTGTGATGAAAGTATGAAATAAAATGGTTCAAATTTTTACAAAATATTATTATTTATTGTGAAATTTTGCCGCCCCCTAAAAAGTGCCGCCCCCACTACGCTACGCCACTGATTTAGCGCTACCATTTGTTCGTCCCTGAAATTGATACTAAATTGAGTATGATGCTAAATCGAAGTACCTCAATAAGAATTACATAATGTAGTCTAAACACAAGTTTTAGTTTGAAGTTTAATTGTCAAGTAATTTGTTAATTAAGGTTAGGATTTATATGCTCTTAAAACCACATTATATGGGAATAGAAATGCACGTAAAAATGCCAGATATATGCATTTTCAAATATCTGAAATATGCATATGTTAAAAAAAAGCCAGCAAGATACAGTGAAGTAGGCAGGTTGAAATGCATGCATACTTGTCAACGAGTAGATAGGATCAGGTTGGTGGCTCGTAGGAGCGCGCCAGTCGCCTTGAGGTTCCAGGCCTGAAGGTTGTGGTTTCGATTCCCTGTATGGAATCCTTTCTCTAATAAATTTTTATCCGGATGGACGAGCGGTCAAGGTGGCATCCTATCGCTCTGGAGGACCCTGGTTCGAATCCGAACGGGTCGAAAAATCCCCAGGAATTTTTCGGGGGGTGTTCCGTTTGGATATGTCGAGCCCCGTCCCTCACCACCCGGCAACCCCATTGTGGGCCTGGCCGAACACATAATGAGCTTGCAAAAAGAGGACGGAAAGAATTAAAAAGAAAAAAAAAGATATTATTTCACATATCAAAAGTTTTAATTTAGCCCTAAATAATTGTAAAGAGTTAATTAAGAAAATAATTATTTAAAGTAATTTTTAATTAATTGATTTTATTCAGTCATGGAAAATAACTATTTGAATTGGGGGAAAAAAATCTAAAATTTTGTGGCGTCGCTACTGTCGATTTCAAAATGGCGCTCTTCTATAATTGTTAAACATCGTTTGGTAGTAATTATTGAATGCAAAATTATTTGAAACAAAAATGAAAACTGCACTTATGGTAGCAGAGAAGCCATCTTTGGCTCAGAGTTTAGCACAAATATTATCGAATGGGGATTTAAAGAGTCGTAAAGGTATCAATGGAGTTTGTCACGTCCATGAATATATTGGACAGTTTCGATCCGAAACTATTCGATTTAAAATGACCTCTGTTTGTGGACATGTCATGTCTATGGACTTCATTGGCAAGTATAACAACTGGGACAGAGTGGATCCGGTAAGCAGATAACAAGGTAGTGGAGGTAAACTACTTTGCTAGAATATTCAATACATTTGCACTTGATTTCTGGTTTTCATTACGAAAAATAAAATATATAATAATAAAAAAAAAACTGGTAGAAGTTAATTTTAAATCTATATTTATTTATTCAAAGTGCTTTGTACATGTAAGTATATATAGGCACAAATTACCTAAAAGTAACTACAACCAAGACTTGCATCTTCCTCAAATATTTAATTTCTGAATATCCATAATGTTTTCAGAAAATTTAATTTTACTTTCACTTATTGGCTATAGTATGTTCAGCAAACTTGATACTTCTAATTGAGCCAAAAAAAAGCTGTGTAACAGTAGTGAATCTGCAGAATGATTAACTATGAATCGATGCAATTGGTGGTGCTATATTAGCCATATTAGCTTGTACTTGTGTTCACAAACTTAAAAGCATTTGAAGTAAATTAAATTCATTTTTAAGTTTGCATTTTTCATAAATCTGTTTTTAGTTGCTGAGAGCTGTGGTAGATGGATTATTATTATAATGTGTACACTCATTTTTATAAATAACATATACTTTACTTCTTGTGTGGGCACAACCATATTTTGTTATTTCTGTAGGATCATCTCAGGAGGGAAGAGTGCGACTTTGTTTTATGTTAATTGGATATTTTCACATGATTGTCTTTTCAGAATGAAAAAAGAATCATAATAACAAAATGTTCTATGGAAATAATGATGATGAGTCCTCTCAACTAGAAACTGAACGATAGTTTGAAGAATGTTTAGTAAAAACTCGCAACCAAATTTGATCAGTTATAACAACCTGATGATAACGTAAATGAAGCCAGCCACTAAATGTGATGTCAGTAAACTTGAAGTATTCAAAAGTATCATTTCTCTAGAGGGTGTTTGACAGAAAATACTCAACTATTCTGAAACTATTGAATTTGCTTGACACAGTTATTGATTCCTACTTAAAACATTATTATAAGTAAAGTTCAAAAGAATTTTTAATCAAATTTTCTAGTTTTAAGTTGATCTTATAAATATTCTGATGGTAAGAAATATAAACTACAAGATTATGAAGAATAAAGTATATTGTCTATAAAAAGTTATAATGGCCAGATGGCTAAGTTATGGCATTAGCCTATCACTTTGGAGGACTGGAACCAAATTTGGGTGAGCAACCCCAGGAAGTTTTTATAGGTGATCGACCCACAATGTGTAAGAAATAAAGCTGTCTTTGAGCCCAAAGGACAAAAAGTTTAAAAAGATATATGATATTTATAATCTGTAAAAAAAAATACATGTAATCCATAATCATACAGCAACTTTACTGACTTCAATAATATAATGGTATCACAAAGACTTCTGGTTATTGAAAACACTCATTAATTATAATTTTTCTATTGTCAAGAAATTTTAAATTCCTATTTTGAAAAAAATCTGTTTGAGTTAGCAGGAGTTTACTGTATTTATATTTAATTTTATTATTAACTAAATATTTATGTTAGAAATGTTAGTCAGGCATGAAAAATTTTTGTGAATTTGGGGCTAAATTATATCTATTTAAGAGATAACACTTTCTTAAAGTTAAATTAATATTTCAGGCTGAATTATTTCATGCTCCTACTGAAAAGAAAGAAGCCAATCCAAAGTTACAAATTCCAAAATTTCTTCAGCAAGAGGTAAATTGTTTATATTAGAAAATTTCATATTTATTTGTCTGAATTTAATTGAATTTTAACCCAATAGGCAAGAAACTGTGATTATCTTATTCTGTGGTTAGATTGTGATAAAGAAGGCGAAAACATATGTTTTGAAGTAATTAATGCTGTAAAAAATATTATGAAATCTCCACAATATCACCAAGAACAGGTATGTTAATATTTTTAACAAAAAGAGATTAAAAATTATATACTTTACTAAGCAAATTTTGAGGAAGAGTACTCATAACATATATTTAAACATCAACATACTATTAAAAATAATACACATTAATTCAATTTTCTTTTGAACTATAAAACAAACACAGTAAGAGTACTCTAAAATTGCACTTTAGAATTGTCTGCTTACACGTGGTAAATTATATTTGTCAATGATCATTTATTTTTACACAGTCTTTTTAAAAATAACATTTTTTTTTGTATTATATTTGATACACAATGATAAAAATTTGCTTTATTTACTAATTAGTTTATTGTTAGATTGATTTTATCTTACTATACAGAAAGGACTACTTCTATAAAAGTTTATCATTTTAACCAAAATTATAATTTATATTTTATCTAATTAATTGATGCAGAGTAATTATAAATCAGTTTGTGTGTAATGTATTTACAGAAAATTGTTTTTAATAGGTTAGGTTTAATGAAATTCATATATCTTTATCAAACTAATAAGCCAAACAATTGCTGGATTTTTGGGCTACTATACAGATACTTTTAATGATTAAATATTATGCAATTTGGTACTAGTATATCTAGTACCAAACCTAGTATATCTAGTACCAAGTTACATAACATTTAATCATTAATAGTAGTGGTAAAGTAGTCCAAAAATCCAGCAATTGTTACTTAATACAAAAATATAGGGCTTTTAGATATTTACATATGCTTCATCAAACTTTAAATATTCAGAAGTTTATTATTTATCAGAACATAATTATAAGTTTTTATTGGAAAATTTTCATTACTAAACATTTGGTAATGGAGACTTAAAAATATGTAAATGAAAAAATTTTAATATTTTACTGAAAGACAAATGAAAATGTGAGATCCAGAATTTTATTAACTAAAATTGTAATTAGTTCACTTTCGTTTATGTAAATAGATTGGAAGAAAAAAAAACGATCTTAGCCGGGAATGTGTAAACCTTCCTGTCATAACTATCAACATTTTATTGTTCTCACATAACTTGCAGCTCGACTTGCACAAAAGTTTATAGTTAGCATCCAAATTTCGTCACTTGTTTTAGGTCCCTGGAACACCTATAGCCTTTAGCTCATAGAACATCCGATCACATGATGGAATTTCCCCGCAAAAAGCTATAAAAGGCATTTCTTACCCCCTCTCGGGGGAGTCTCTTAACAAAAGCTGGACCGACGACATTGAGTCAAATCTCCGAACCGAGGAAATTCCGATCCTCCAACATTGATATCCATTTGTCGCCAGAGTCGCAAACTTTTATATTTGTGCTCATTTGGATCAATGACATTTTTATGGGATACTTCTGTGCCTACATTCCTTAATTGTCACGGAAACCTACAAAAAGGTATGAAAAAGCATATAAACTATCTCTTGAGCTGTTAGGCAGTTTAGTGTCGAGATTTGTGTAGTACTTTTGTCAATTTTGATTATTTTAATAAATTCTTGTTTTATTTGTTAAATGGTAGACTCCTTTACTCGTATATGGCCTTCACTTTATTGTTGACCCCAAATACTCTCCCTCCACTCAACCGACATTTAAGAGTCCCAACCCTCGGGACCAGTAATCGTCAATTAAGCCATCTTGACAAGTGAGCAGGTTTTATGACCTGTTGTCCGAACAGGGAGGTGCGACTGACCCCGACCTCCCTGGCGGTTCACAAAAATAATACAGCAAATAATCTGCATAATGTACAGTGAAAACTGCTTAGGCGACCACCTGCATTCGATGGGCACCTTAAGTATCTAGGAATTATTCTGGATAGTAAATTATTATGGGACGCACATATAGATTATGTCACAAACAGAACTGGATTAATTTTTCAGACCTTTTCCAGAGTTGCACACCGTACATGGGGTTTATCATATGCGGCAATGGACACTATCTATAATCAGATATTCATTCCTATTCTTACTTATGCTTGCGATAGCTGGGGATGGGCATCACATAAGACCCACCCCAATAGGAAATTAATTTCTGCTCAGAGGAAAGCAACAATCCTTCTAACAAAAGCATATAAAACAGCTTCTAGCCCAGCACTGCAAATCATTGCTAAAAAACCCCCAATCGACTTACATATTGAATACTATAGCCAAATTGGTAACCTAAAATGGGGAGAAGATATAAACATTAATAACTGCATAATTACCGCCACAGAAATTGAACGACCGACACCTGTTTCTTTGAGCATAGACCCAAGTGCACCACCGATACAATTTTTTGATAACATCCAGGAAGATGACATTGTTATATATACTGATGGATCCAAAAGTAATTACAATGTTGGATGTGCTTTTGCGACATATTATAAAAATGAAGAAATTTACTCACAACAGTATCGATTAGGTAAATTATCCTCAATCTTTCAAGCAGAAATGTTTGCCATTCAACAAGCACTACTTTGGTCTAACCAAGTATACTCCTTTCAAAATATCACAATCTGTAGTGACAGTGCCTCCTCCTTAGACNTTTGTTCGAAAATGTCCGAAAAACGAAAGAAATGCAAAGTGCTGTCGTTAGAAGATCGTGTTAAAGTTATCACAACAGCAATTAGCGGCAAAGTTTAACTGTGGGAAAATGAAATTGATTTTGCCGTAGACCTACAGTATTTTCCTTGGGAGTATAAAATATTGTACATGATACAATTAATCAGCTGATCTCATCATTTGATAAAATTTATTTTTATTTATTTATTTTGAAGCTCATATACAGTAAATGTGCACTAAATAGTTTCTGTATCAACCTACCTTATTTCCATGATATTTTTAGAAAAATAATATTCAAGTAATTTTCGCATGCAAAATATTCGAAAAACAATAAACGCATTAATGCAAAAATCAGTTTTACAGGCAACCTTCCTTTTTCAATTCTGCATTAACAATCGCAGAATGTAATGAAATCATATAATGAGAAAAAATAATAAAATCGTTTTATTAATAATTAATAATTTTTCTTATTGTACTTAAGAAAATATTAAATAATACGGTATTTTTAAAGTTAAAATAAGTTTATTTACTATTGAACACAAGACTGTATTATTATTAAAACACTTGGCGTTTATCCACTTTATTCAGTTGATACGGGCACTTTTACACGTTTCGGGCGTATAGCCCCTCATCAGTCAACTGATAAGAAGAAACATTTACATTAGATTATTACATTTTTTAAAAATTATATAACGATTCTAAAACATATAACATTTAAGACATACCATTTAAAAAATTTCAATGACACACGTACAGCACAAGTTATTATTTACTGCTGTTAGGATAAGTTGATAACAATGATAACATAAACCTACATACATTAAATTAAAAAATAAAACACTGTATAATTATACACGCTTATACTGATAACGCACATAACTATACTAATTTTTGTGTACAATTGTTTCTTACTGTTAAGTAGCCGTGACACATCCTTTATCTTCTTACTAAAGTTGATAAATATATAGGCAGAATCCTTTCTAATGTTTAATGAATATATTTGATGGTTTCTCACAACATTTCATTTGCACATAACAGAATCAGATAAACTTCACTTAGCATATTATAACAATTTTGTTTCCTGGGCATTATACAATATTGAGTCTTATTGCTAATTTGCATTTTACCATTCATGATGGTCGGATTTTACATAATATTTGTAATAGCAAATGGTATCTAAGTAAACAGAACACATTAAATATTTTTACAAAAAATTTTTAGAATTTTTCTAAAACATACTAACTATCTTTCATTATTACAATATTTTTAGCCAATCGTTACTTATTTTAATGCTTAGATTCTTGTTTAAACAATTTTTAGAGTTTATTATAGCTACACTTTCTTTAAATTTTCTACTATATGTGTTCTTTTCTTTGTATAAGATTTTTGTATTAGTTTTATCAATGTTACAGTTGTTTAATAGGCAATGATCATGAAAAACTGAATTTAATCTATGATATTTCATATCAGCGATGTGTTCTTTTAATCTTATGCTTAATTTTCGTTTGGTTTCACCTATATAAATATTGGTATCTTTACAAGTACATGGGATTTCATATACTACATTCTTGGTTTCTTCTTTAGTCTCATTATTTTGTTTTTTGGCTTTTATTCTGGCTTGAAGTTTTTCGTACTTAGGTGCTAGTTTTATGTTTATTTTCTGCATTTCTTTGTTAATTTCTTCATATAAACCTTTTATATACGGAAAACTAATATATTTAATATCCGGGCTTTGTTTTTTCTGATTATGTTTCTTGTTATTTATTGAACACAGTCTTGTGTTCAATAGTAAATAAATACGAAAACACGGTTTCAAAAAACGAGTTAAAATAAGATTAAACTAATGAATACCAAAACCAAAGTGATGTAGAGATATGACACGCTTGTATATCGATGACATGATACACATAACTGAGGAGCGAACAAAAACAACCAAGTTCGATTAAGTCAGAAAAAAGAAAGTTTGCATTATAATCAAGAAAATGCGACTATTGTATTAATCTTTAAAATATTGGTATTAAATCTGTTTTATAAAATCATGACGACTCCTGTAAATTGAGTTATCTGATAAGAATAAAATACAATACCAATATAGCCCTATTGTTGAAAAATTTGCTTATTTTTGCTCACCTCAAGTTTTGCTTAGTAGAAATGGCTAAAAAGTGCACAAGATACATACAGAAATACAGTATTACTGCACTACCTGTATTGGACGACCACCTGTCTAAAAGACCACTTTTTGAAGGAACCGTGGGTGGTTGCCATAGACAGGTTTTACTGTATTTTCTTTTACTTAAAGTTACAAATTTTGTAATAGATTTAATGAATTGTGTAGAATATTTTGAACACTAATATTAATATTAAAAAAATTTTATTTAAAAAATTAAGTTTGGTTTTTATATTTATGTATTTTAATGCACACTTCAGTTTACTAAAATATATGAATAGAATAACATTATGAATAAA